AAATATCATAAAAACATCGTGAATATTAAATATTTGATGTTTAAACAATGTAAAACAAAGTTCCTCCTCCTCTTCTTTATAAGAAAAAATATTATGAACACTTTACCATCAGTTTATTAAAATTAATGCCCCTAATCCTCAAAAAGAGTGTCATGGTGCAGTGGTTAAACTGCAGTACTACACTTAGGCCTCTGCTCATAACCTGAGTTCAATCCCAACTGGGTCAGATAGCCAGCTCAAGGCTGATTCAGCCTTCAGATTCTTCCAAAGTCAGTAAGATGCTAACCCAGCTGGCTGGGGGTGGGTGAGTGGGAAAAAGTGTCATTTAAATAATTTTGTTATAAACTACAACTATGTTATAAACTAGCACTATGGAGTGGTATACAGCAAGAAGGATGATGATAATGGTGATGCAACTAAAATTAAAATTACAATTCAGAAGTTAAACAAGACCCCCTGGGAAGTTAGGATCTGATCTTTAGGTCATGAGTTGCCCTTCCAGTTCAAAACATAAATGAAGGCTTTTGATTTAAAAACCGTCTTTAGACTCAGACAAACATTCCCATCCCTGTGTTTGTGGGCTGCAAAACAACAAAGCGACCAGCAATGCTTGTCTACTCACTATGTCTGCTGATCACTGCTATGCTGTAAAAACTGGTTAAATCGGAGTGAAAAACATGCAGGTAACTGATGTAGAAATGGGGAGGCTGGAGGGGTAAAGCAGGCAGCAATATGCTTAGAATAAAAAGCCCTGTGAATACCAGACATGGTTTGGTGCAGTCATCCCACAAAATCTGTGCAGCACAAGCCAAAGAGAAGCCCAGCTTGTATAGATGAAAAGAAACCTGACAGATGCCTCCCTAGGCTGAACAAACCGTTTTTGTTTCCCTGCAGAAGAGAACATAAATGTCATCATCCTCTTTGTGTGTTCATTCCGACAGATTTTAAGAAACACGTCTGATTCACCATCTTATAGAGAGAATAGCCTCACCGTAAAATTGGAGATAATGGGAAAAGCAGAGAGGGAAGTGGGCAGAACATATGCTTATGCAGACAGAATGTCCTAGGTGCAATGCACAGCATCTTCAGTTAGAGGGAGGTCTAGAGACAAGCTGCAGAGCATCCCTGGACCGAAAAGAATAGCAACAACTGTTGGACAGCTGACTATCAATAAAGAAGAATGGACTAGAACATGACTGGGAAACTTGTATACCCAGAGTGTATAGCTAACAGTGGGGAACGATGGAAATTGCTGTCTAGCACCACTGGGAGGAACACAGGTACGGCAGCCCTATCTTGGAGCGTAGTACTATGTGAACTAGTTCCAGATGTTTTTAGTGTAAATCCTGTCTTTGAGTAAATAGACAATAGTAGGATATTAGACAGCCAGAGAGCTTTCTAAAAGGGAAACACCAAATAAAACATGCATATTAGAGATGTGCATGAACTGCTGCTTTTGGTGGGTTGTGCCTGTTCTTTTTTTTAATTTTTTTTTGACCAAACAGGTGTTCAGTGCTTCCCAGGTGTGCCGCCCCTAGCAGGCACCCACTCAGAGGCAGTGCCCAGAAGAAGTGGGGCTAGGAAGCGCGGCCAAAAAATGAACCAACATGAATTGCTGAAGTGAGGGCTCATGCCCATCTCCAATACACATAGAATTTCAAAGAAGAAGTGTTCGGCATTTGTCTCTTGCTTTAGAAATGAAGCATCTCAAACAGCACCTCAAAGCCCCAAAACAACAACAACCCATGATTTTTTGTGGCAAGGAGCCCACGCTGTGAAGAGGACAAGTAGAACCTTGTAGGTGCAGGGATGCCAATCTCTATTCATTTCTTTCTCACAGACAAAAACACATGATTTTTTTTTTAAAAAATCCCTGCAAGATTAGGAGAACGTTTTGTGCTTTAAAACAAACAAACAAACAACCATTTCTGAACTTTTTTGTGATTTTTGTGATAGTCTGGCAATAATAATGTGTTAAACTAAATTCGTAGTTCACTGTACTTTATTTCATACAGAGGTACCAGGAAAAAACATGTTTCATTATTTCATTTATTTTGTTATTGAATAAAACTCACGTATGGCATTATTCATTTGTGACTGGAATAACTGATTGACTGATCTGCTCTTATACAACTTGTTTTCCTTAATCCCATTCATTTTTTTCCCTGATTGTTCTGAATGAAAGATTCTTGTACTTTCTCTTGCCTGCACCTTTTGTATTTTCCATCCTGTTGGCATGAACTTTCAAGGCAAACTACTACCTTCCTCTCTAAGGAACAAAGCCTGCCAGTTTTTGGATACTTAGGGGGGGAAAGGTGCTGATTTTCTTGCCAATTTTAAAAGGCCAAACTAAACTGCGATTGAAAATGTCATATATTTTAGTCCAAGTCTTGGACACCAATAACTGCTCCAACAGAGCAAACATTAAAAACTCAGAGTTTTTTTTTAAAGAAAAGGCTGTATAAACTAGTGAGAAAGCCAAATAATGATCCTGAGCCTTGAGAGTAAACTGCCATGCACCCCAGAGAATTGGCCAATTTTCTCTTCTGCTGCTCAGTGATTCTCCTCTCTCTTCTTACCTCCAAAATCCAAATGAACAACATCATGCCAATAAGCTAGCTTTGGTTTCATAGGGACTTAACGAGGAAAACAAATCAGCCACTTACCATTATTTTTAACACAGGTAGCTTATGAAATAGACATCAATAAATGAGGCAGAAACTGCCTATAATTAAAAAGGAAAAGAAAAGATAAGCACAGATCATTCCCACATACCATCACTAAACATCGTTTCGTTTCGTTTCGTCGTTTAGTTGTGTTCGACTCTTTGTAACCCCATGGACCAGAGCACGCCAGGCCCTCCTGTCTTCTACTGCCTCCCGGAGTTGTGTGAAATTCATGTTGGTTACTTTGCAGACACTGTCCAGCCATCTCATCCTCGGTCGTCCCCTTCTCCTCTTGCCGTCACACTTTCCTAACATCAAGGTTTTTTCCAAGGAGTCTTTTCTTCTCACGAGATAGCCAAAGTACTGGAGCCTCAGCTTCACTAAACATAGCTCAGTTTTATTCAAAAGACTGAACCACTTCATCATCCACAAACTCCCAAGAATCCCCTTCTCCAGAGGAAACTTCCAAACTCAAAAAGAGACAAATAGTTCATTATTTGGTTTACTGGTCCTACCAACAGGCTACTTCATAAGGCTGAGTAAGGAAATTCCACATTACACACCTGATACACAATTCACCCCAAATCTTCTAAGTTTTAAGGTTTTTTGTCTGGCTGAAGTCTAAAGCTATAGAGAAAAGGAATCCCCCATCAAGTGGTGGGAACAGAAAGTGTAGGGGGGGACCTGGTGTTTGAACCCAGTGTATTATGCTCATTTGTCTATTTCACAGTTACAGTGTTTTATTGTAAAAGTTGGGAAAAGTTAAAGAGAAAATAGGATTAAGTCACTTGTGTCTTTGTGTCATCAGGCTTAGCCTGGAAGAGCATAGCTGGGTTCACTACAATTTGAAGTGACTTCTAGAGCCCACCTGTCAGGTAGCTGGACAGACATAAAGGCTAGGTGAAGATAGTCATTTTCTTTTCTTTTCCCTCTTTTTAAGAAAAGAAGAGATTGAGCTGAAATAAAGGATTGCTTTGCTACTAGCTGAAATCACTCTGCTGATATCACTTTGCTCTAAAACCACACCTGGTTCAGTAACCTTTATTGGTTCAGAGATGAAAGGTTATCTGCTGGAGAGGCTTTTCCAAACCACATCCTGGTTGCTGCATCGTTCCTGGTGCACCTGCTGGACCCCTCTTTTATGATACACCTGGAGGCTGCTAAGACTTGCAAAGCCAATTGTGTGGCCTTACTACTGCCTATAGTGAAAAGGTTCAAGGACAAGGTGTTGTGTATTGCACTATTATTGTTTGTGTTATTGGAAAACGGCTCCTCACAGAACTAAACCGGGGTGCTTGAGTCAAAACTGAATAAAGATGTACGCCTAGATATTGAACCTTGTCTTGAGTATAGACCCAGTGTTATATTTCCGTTATTCTGTCCCCAGCTCTCCCAAAATCTGATAATTTTGATGCTTGGAGTTTTGACTGAAGGTCTTTTCATTGTTTAAATATCCATTTTGCCCAAACCTCTTTCATCCATTCAGGCATGGGAAATTGTTGGCAAAAGAGGGGGTGGAGGTTGATTACATGCTAAACAATTGTCCTTTCATTATTTGTCATTTCATAATTAAGATTTTCAATTGCTGTGTCTGGAAAAACAATTTGCAAACTGGATACTCCGCAGTAACAGGATGTCATCCACATTTCAAAGTTTTTGCTCTATTGAAAGAACTACAACACTCTCTCACTCACTCACTCTCTCTCTCTCTCTCTCACTCTCTCTCTCTCTCTCTCTCTCTCTCTCTCTCTCTGTGTGTGTGTATACACTTCTATTTGGTTTTTGTTTTACAGCACATCATTTTCACTATGTTGTTGATTTTTATCTGAAATTCACATAATGGCCACAACCTCTACCCTCAGTGGTGAGATCTGGGTATGTTTTATGAAAATGAAATTAAATGATTGAAATAAACAATGCATGTGTGCATTGCCATGCACTATTTTTATACATCAGGCAAATGAATAATGCTATAACTAATGAATGGTTTACTTAATTAGGACAGCAGTTTTAAGATTTTAGTATAATGAAAAATGTTGTCCATGCTTTACTTTTAAAGAATTATGAATAATGAATGGCATATGATGGTCTCTAACTGTTGGTGGTGAATATTAACTGGTAGAAAAATGGCAGTGTTAAGACATTAGCTTGAAGGGAGGGAGAAAGGACATGATAGGGAAAGAAACACTGGTGGTCAAACTGCAGATTTTGTGAGCATCATACATTACTGAAACGCCAGCTAAAATACTGAAACTACTCATCTCACCTCAGTCTTAGCCCAGATGATGGCCAGTTCAATAAAGACAGGTTTATAAAAGGGATGAGGGAGAGATTTATTAAGTTTGCAATTTATGGCCAAGTTGTTTTATAGTTTCCAGCCATTTCCAAACTTTTCAGTGCCATTCTCTAATTAAAGCAAGCAAACAACACTGATATTTGGATACAGTACTTGTGTAAAATGTGTGTTTTATGTAGTTACTAACAGAAATGCATACAAATATGCATGCATTCAGACGTATGTTTACAAGGAAACATTTTATACCTTGCCCCCTCATGACTACATTTTTATTCAGCTCTCTCCCGTACCATACATTGCCACAAAGAGAAACATTTGGCCCTTACAGTTTTGAGAAGGATGAACCAAACTCATATCGACTAAATGGTCAATGTGAAAGACAGCTACTGGCTATCAAGTGCTATGACCATATAAAAGGAGACAATCATTACAAGGTGATTGTGACCTTCTTACGGTAGGGACGAGGGAGCTGTAGCTTTCCACGAGTTTTTGAAGTCCAGTTCCTTTCATCCTTCACCAGCTTCATCATAGACAGGAGAGAGAGAGGAATTGGAGTCCAGCATCATCTGAAGGATCAAGGATTCCCCATTCTCATTCTAATGTACTTGGCTGTCAGCTCTTGAAAATACAGCGCTGGGATTTATTACTTGATCTGACCTACATTCGTTTGTTAGGTTTATATTCCACCTTTCCTCCAGCAAGTTCGATGTAGTGTGCTTGGCTGTCCTCCTTCATTCATTTCCACAAAAATCTTGCAAGATGAGTCAGGCTGGAAAAAAAATGAGCTGGCTCAAGTTCACTGAGTGAGTTTCCTGAGTCACGGAGGTCTAGAACCTGGACCTCTTGTGCCAGTCTGGCACCCTAACAACCACATCCACTCTGATTCTCTAGCATTGCACTTCTCATGTTTTCCTAAGCACACATATGCTCACTCTGAAAAATGTGGGGTTAACATGAGTTAGGGTTTGGAGACAGGATCAAATTGAAGCAGATCACACAAATGATCCCTGTGTCTTTGAAACAGAATTCTTTATACCAATGAATGAATGAATGAATGAATGAATGAATGAATGAATGAATGAATGAGACCTCTGACCTACTTCAATCAGTATTTCAGTATAGCGAAAGAAGCAACTACCACACTTCTGAAAACCCAATAGCCAGAAGACTTTGTAACCTCTCCTGACTTATTTATGGTTACTGGAGCTGATCTATTATGTAGAGATCCCATGCTTCATATGAAAGCTTTCTTTTAAGTATTAAAATGCATTAAAGATTTAACTGAGGATTTCAGCATTCGTCCTACCCTTTGTCCCCCTATGGAAAATGTACTTTAGGCATACTGTACTTGCTGTTTCATATTTTGCAGATAGTTTCACTATTCATGTCAAGCTGATGATCTATTAGCATTATGCAGAGTTTATTAAGAATCCTCCTCCACTTGTTCACTCACATATGAATAAATAAAATAAATACAGGGTATAGAGAGAGGGGATGAAATTCAGTATATTTCCTGCAGAGAAAGCAGTGATCTTATATTGTAACATAAAAGAATGAAGAAACCTTCAGCAACTTAAAAAATGTGAACTTAAGTTTTAATGAATCAGAATTCCTTGAATGAGATTCCCTTTCCAGAATTTCCCAGCAAATATTTATTTGTTTGTTTGTTTTTCTTATTTATAGACTGCCTTTCTCCCAATAAGGAGATTAAAGGCAGCTCACAGTATTAAAAAGAAGAGAAATAAAAACCCAGTAAGTTATACATTTGAAAAAAATATTAAACGATAAAACAAATTAAAATACATTGAATAATTAAAAACTTGTGAAACATTAAAAAGTATCTGAACTTAAAAAATTGAATTCATGGACTCAATCGTGACTGTTAAAAGCCTAACTGAAAAGATGGATCTTCAGTTGTAAGCAGAAGGATAAAAGGGAGGATGCCAACTTGGCCTCCTGAGGGCATAAGCTGGGAGCTGCCATGGAGAAGGCCCTCTCTTGTGTCCCCATCAACTGTTCCTGAGTTGGCAATGCGAGCACGAGGAGGGCCTCCTCTGATGATCTTAAGCACTAAGAAGGCTCATGGGGGAGAATATGGTCCTTCAGGTAGCCTAGACCCAAGCTGTATAGGGCTTTTCAGTATATTTCCTATAGAGAAAGCAGTGATCTTATGATGTAACATAAAAGAATCAAGAAACCTTCAGCAACTTAAGAAGTGTGATGACCAGCATTTTGAATTGGACCCGGAAATGGACTGGCAGCCAACTCAGTTGTTGTAACAGGGGCATTATATGCTCCCTATAACTGGGCTCAGTGACTAAACTCGCTGCTATATTTTGAAGCAGCTGAGGTTTCTGAAATGTCTTCAAAGTCAGCTCCACGTAGAGCACATTAGAATCATAGAATCGTTACAGTAATCCTAGCAGGATATAATTAATGCATGTGTCACTGTAGCCAAATCAGACATCTCAAAGAATGAGTGCAGCTGGCAAATGCTCTCCTGGCTAGTCACTATGCTGGTTGGGGCTTCTGGGAGTTCTGGTCCACAAAGGAACAGTTTCAAGTTCTGAAGCACACACACAGGAGATGAACATACTGAGCATACATCTTCCTCAGCCAAAGATCAGTGAGGTCACTATTGCAGCTGGATTCATGTACTAAAACCATCAAAGGCCAGGAAACTGGAATCCAGAATACAGCAGGCAAGAGAACTCCTTGGTTAATCAAGCTTGGATTCCAGTATTTAGAGCAGTCTTGGCCAAGCCTGTATCGGCACACCGCTTGCCAATCATAGTAAAACATATTGCATCCCTTCTCAAGCTTTCTTAAGCTACAGCCCATTTTTTCAGATACTGTACATATAGGTAAATGTAAAGGTTCCCCTTGACATTTAATCCAGTCGTGTCCAACTCTAGGGGGCGATGCTCATCCCCGTTTCCAAGCCATAGAGCCAGTGTTTGTGCGAAGACAGTTTCCATGGTGATGAGATCAGCGCGACTGGACACAGAATGCCATTACCTTCCCACCGAGGTGGTACCTATTTATCTACTCACATTTTACATGCTTCCGAACTGCTAGGTTGGCAGGAGCTGGGACAAGTGACAGGAGCTCACTCCATCGTGTGGATTCAATCTTACGACTGCTGGTCTTTGACCTTGCAGCACAGAGACTTCTGTGGTTCAACCCGCAGTGCTACCACGTCAGATACACATAGTGACCACCAAACCTGCTATGTAGCTATGTAACTCTATGTAGACATATTAGCAGGTTCTGTTCAATCCAGTTAATCCATTCTTAAACTTTAGGACATGCCAGTTACTCAAGGGAAAAAACACAAGGTTTGGACCTTGTGATCTAGCTGTGCCTCATCCCACTGTCCATAAATATGGCTTTGTGTACTAGAAGATGTAACAGAAACTCAAAAAATTCCTTGCTCTTGCAAATTTAGCATGTGTTCAGTTGAAGAGAAAATTCCATGATAATTTTTTAAGCTCCATGAGATTCCTCACTGCCAGGAGGACAGTGACAAGGAGAGTTATTTTTTTTCTCATCAATCGCTCTATAATTTCAACAAACTTTATCTGGGCACAAGTAGTGTCTTTTCACCTTGAAAAGGAATATACATACATATAGCCGCCTAGAGTGGTCTTAACCGACCAGATAGGCGGGATATAAAATAAATAAATAAATATAGCACACATAAGCAGCTGGTTTTAAAACAATCAGTAAACACACTTTTACTCTTCTGACAATTCTCTTTCTTAAATGTCAAAGGGTAAATTTGTTTTGAGTCATTTTGTGGCATCATAAACCAGGTTGGATAGCAGAAGTATTTAATTTAATTTAATTTAATTAAAAGCTTTCTATCTCCCTCCTTTTGGGGTCTAAGGCTCCCTAGTACTTCTGTTTGCCCTTGGGAGAGCCTTGGAACACCTTTGGAAGCCTTGGGATGTGGTGGGAGGGATAATGTGTATTAATAAAAAATGCTAGTATATCATCACCACTAGGATTGGGTCTGCCAGTGACATTTTTTACTATTAGAAGCTCCCCCTCACATGCTAACATTGCCACAGGCTTCCTCAGGGAAAAAGGGAGCCCTAAGAAAAACTAGAATCTATAAGGATGGGGATAGGAAACGTTTAATTTCTTTAAATTAAATGCTTCCAGTGCCAGTTCAAGGTTATGCCACACAAAGTTATGCCAAGAGGGATAGTCTGTTGAAAAATTGCTGTGCCTCCGCAAGTATGAGGCAAGGACCCATTTTTTTCCTGCACAAAAGTTACAGTTTTTGATACAGTTATCTTAACATTCTTAAATTTATTTATTTATTGATTTGATTTATACCCCGCCCATCTGGCCTAAAAGGCCACTCTAGGCGGCTAGAGTGTTGTTAACTCCTAAAATTTCTCTCTCTCTCTCTCTCTCTCTCTCTCTCTCTCTCTCTCTCTCACACACACACACACACACACACACACACACACACACACAGAGAGAGAGAGAGAGAGAGAGAGAGAGAGAGAGATGACAGACTAGAAAAGATGCACAAATCCAGTCCAATGTCTCTAATTTTTCAAAATGCCTACAGCAAAATAGCAACTAGCAAAGGTTGACGCAAATTATGCAATTTGTACAGAAAAAGCATTTTTACAAATCAGAATTCTTGCTGACACTGTCAGAAAATACCTTGCATCTTGCAGCAAAGAGGAAAATGTTATGGGTTTTGTTTTGCGTTGTTTTTTGTTCTTATGTATTCAAAGGATACTAATAAGAATTTACATCTTTAGTGGACACAAGAAAATGGAATGTGTTAACTGTCTGCAGTGCCATCTACACAACCTTTCACATGCAAAACCAGCTCTTGTTAAAACAAACTGTCAAGACAAAATTCATCTTCCTTTGTAGCAGTTAGGGTAGAGCACTATTAGATATATCAAGAGATTTCATCTCCAGTTTATTGCATAACTATGCTAAAGCAAGTAAGATATGGTTCCAATATTTATTCAGACTTAGAAAAAAATGGAGAACAATATATCCATCTAAATAGCATTTTGATACCATGGAAAACACATTTATAGGAGGGGAAAAACACCAGCAGACACAGCATTGAACATTTGGAATAATATGAAACCCTGCAACAAGACAAAATTAATCTGTATTTTGTTGCTAAATGTTGTGATAAAATAAGCATTCTTGAAAATAATGACTTTTTCCAATAATTTCTGGACCGTAACTCCTTTCAGTCACTCCCTTGTAGAATTTTCCCCATTTTCATCAGAAACTCAAGAGACTCCACATATGAAGAATCCTCCATAGAGGAAGAATCTCAAAATTTGTTTCCAAATAGTACCCTATGTAAAATTCAGACCTACGCCTAGATATGGTCGCTGTTGGCTGCTCTGTGGATAATTTAGTTCATAGCCCCACCCTTAGTAATGGACAATCAACCATTTTGAAGGGGTTGAGTGTGGAGGAAGGGAGAACACAGAACTTACTCTCACCACAGTTCATAAGACCATAAATCTGTGTCAGTTTCTACAAGTTTCAAACTTTTTAAACAACACATTTATTCATACTCTTAAATCCCATTGAGAAATTCTGCAAGGAACCACACAGCCCGTGGGAAAAAACTCCCTACAGGTATAGTGCTGCCTCGACTTAAAAACATCCCTACTTACGACCATTTTGAGTTACGACCAGCTCCGGATGCAAAATTTTGCTTCTTCTTGCATTCGGAGCTTCCACTTATGCACAGAAACAGGCAGGGGGAAA